GATCTGCAATAGAAGCTGCCACTGGGAAGCTTGCATGGTCTGAACACAGATACCCATTAGTGCAGGGACAAACATACACACACACCTTTTTATCAAGCATAACGTGCTGTTACAGAAGCAGAGCCTGAACCAGACATGCCCCATAAGCCCACAGGCTGAAAAAGAGAAAAAAAAGCCCTGTGCTGGCTGTCATGCGACTGCCGTTTATGGCAACGAGTCACAAACACAATCTGGAAGTACAAGGAGAAGAAGAAGCAGCAGAACAAACAACAACTCACGCTACAGCGTTGTTCCCGAGCAGACGCTCTGCCACAGTTCTGCTCTGGTGGCCTTGAAGACTTCCTCTGGGTCTGTTTAACCGCTCAGTTAAACTGCTGACACCCAGTCTTATTAAAAAACTACAAAAATAAAACGTTGCATTAGAGCTATTTTTAACACAGCGATTATTTCGGTGTCTATGTAAATGTGGACACGTGTGTGTGTGTGTGAAGCCACGGTGTGCAGAGCCACAGACGATAAATAGTGGTGTCACAGCTAAACAGGAGGCTGGCATGGCTCAAGGTGACCGTCTGCTCGGGCCTTCCTTGGCTGCGGCCGCATCATAATGTCGCCCCTGGCAACAGGATGTCAAGCTGGCCCTGTGCCAACCCAAGGATCTGTGCCAGGCCCACTAGCAACTAGGAGCTTAAAAGCTGGTGTGTGGGCTCGCTCTCTCTCTCCACCCCCCCAACAACTCTGCTGGTCCAGTCCTCATTTTCCTGCTTTTCCCGCTGTCGCTCTCATTCCCATTTCATCCATCTGAAACTCTCAGTATGGGGCTCATATCTTCCAGATGTGCTGCCTCTCTGTTGCCTATGCACTTTACCCTCTCAGCCTTTTTCCCCCCTGCTAAGCATCTTCCTTTACCAAAATTACACAATGCAGAGAAAACTCATGCAGGTGTGCACACCCACCTCAATGAGATTTAGCAAACTTGTCCACTTGATGGGCCGGCAGACGGCAGCGCCCCGAGGCGTAGGCATGGACGTACGCCTCTTCCGCCCACGACAGAGAAAACAGGTGAGAAATTGTAATAGCAAAAACAGCGCATCGCTTTTCTCGTTAATGAGAGACAACAAACAGGCAAATTCCACAGCATATGGATGAGTTCAGGCTGGGAGGTGTTCAAAGCGGCCTTGCCGTTCTCTGCCATATGGTGTCACTAATTGCGATGTTTTGGGGTTTTTTTCCCTTTTGTATGCGACAGAGAGGTGCACCAAAAGAGCTGGTTAAAGGGAGAAAAACACAAGCCCAAAACTGGGGCAAAAGTTTTGATTGTTTTGATGTTGCATTGAGCCGTTTCTTTCTTCTCAAGCGGCCGCCAAATTGAGCCTTGAGGGAGAACGGTTTAAAACATGGCGATTTGAGATTGTTATATTCCCTCGAGATGATGAGGAAATATGTTAAACTAATCGCGGTTTACAAGATATGCAAGTGACATTAGATTAGATATATTTATACAACTAACCGAGTTTTCTTCCCTCAAACACATGTGAACATAACAATTATCCCAGTAGAGTCCCATTGTCATGAACAAAGGCTCTATACATTTCATCTACAGCTGTCTTAGGGTACAAGCTCAGAACTATATAATACTGGAAAGAACACGTTTTTATGTTGTGTTTCACTTTCATCTGCAGATTAATGAAAAAAAAAAATAAGTGCTCCTCTTTGATTCCTACAAAACATCTTGATTATATTATCACAGGTTTAGCTCTCGCCTCCCAGGAGATGAACGGCAACCAGAACACATCAAACAAATGAAATTAGATTCTGCTTGCCCGCTGTCAACAAGCTAATTTGATGCTGTACTCAGAGGCGAGAACATATGAGATACATGAGAGCTACATGTTATGAAAAAAGAAAGAATAAAAAAAACTACAGAGTACAATCAAAAAGTTCCATGACTCAACCCATTATAAAGGAAAGACAATACTCCTGATTTAAATTTGGACTAAACCTAAATATCTGGAGAAAGTACATGTACAGAGGCAACTGTAAAGGGGACCGGCCACTTCATTAGGTATACCTTGCTAGTATTGAGAGATTTTGGTCCATATTGAATTGATTATCACACAGTTGCTGCAGATATGTGTGCTGCACATGCAAGCATGTGCATGTGTATGTTCCACCACACAGTAAAGGCCCTCATCTTGATAGAGAAAATGTGACCGTGGAGGCCATTTGAGTACATTGTACTCATTGTTATATTCAAGAAACTAACTTGATGTGATCGAGCAGTGTGACACGGTGCATGAGAAGATGTGTACACATAAAGGCATAGACATGATCCGGATCAATACTCAGGTAGGCTGTAGCATTCAAACAATTCTGTGTTGGTACTAAGGGCCCCAAAGAGTGCCAAGAAAATATCCCCCAACACTATTATAATATTAAGAGTACTTTGAATCAGTGGTAAAAGGCAGGATGGAGCCATGCTATCGTGTTGTTTCTCCAAATTCTGACCCTACCCTCTGAATATCACAGCAGAAATCAGAGTTCATCACACTAGGTAATGTTTTCCAATCATATGTTGTCTAATTCTAGTGAGCCTGTTTGAATTGTTGCCTTAACTTCCTGTTCTTAGCTGATAGGAGCAGCTCCTCTTGGGTTCTTCTGTGGCTGTAGCCCATGTGCTTCAACGTGGTGTTCAGAAATCCTCTTCTGCATATCTTGTTTGTATTCAGTTACTGTCTTCTCCTCTGACCTCTGCCATCAGCAAGATATTTTCTCCTGCTAGTCATTGGATAGTTTCTATTTTTTTGGACCAGTCTCTGTAAGCCCCTGAGATGGTTTTGTGGGGAAATTCTCAGTAGGTCAGCATTTTCTGAAGAACTCAGATCAGCCGTTTTTGACACCAACAACCATGCTGCATTCAAAGATACTCAAATCACCGTTCTTTCCCATTCTGATCCTCAGTTTAAACATTAGCAAGTCGTTCTGATCATGTCTGCATGCCTAAATTCTTTTAGTTGCCGCCATGTTTGATAAATTAGACATTTATGTTAAGCAGCTGAACAGGTGTAGCTAATAAAGTGGCTGGTGAATGTAGATCAAGTACAGATTTTGCTTTTTCAACACATTTAGTAAGAACGATGCATATTCCAACCACAGGCAATATATCAGACTCGAATATAATAGGCACATACTAAATTCAGCAGAATCAAAGATGATCTACGCGTTGTATTTTTGTGGTAACGGCTACTGCGGCTACATTAGAGCAGCATTGTTCCCACAAACCCTCAGTCTTTCCATTTGTAAAGACACCCACAGCAACAGAAACAATTTTATCTGAAATGCTTACAATTTGTGAAACCATTAAAGCAACAGTTGGTAAAAGGGCCGTTTGCTAAAATGAGATAAAAGTTTCACTAACTGGAGCTGACACACTGCCAAAAAAAGTAGGATCCAGTCAGAAGTCTGTGGCTGGAACAAACCACTGTCATGTTATTTACATCCTTACAGCATTCAATAAGAATCCTATACCTATAAGTAGTAGAAGCTTGCCAGATATCTAGAAACACCACCATTTAGATGCCGATGAAACATTATCCACCTCTTTGAAATGGGGGTGTCTCCCTGCGGATTAATTTGTTTTAATTCTAAGAAGTATGAATAAATAATGGGATCATATGACACCCTTTCATTGTTGCAAATGGTTAAATGCGCACTCAATGCGTGTCTGCATCAATCCGTCTTTGCACTGGAGAGACGGCTCGAGGGGAGGCTTCTAAAATTAGATCCATCAGCGTACAATTGAGATTCAAAGTGTGCATCCACACCTGCACACAGTGATGCAGGGGAACCACGTGGCTGCTGATGCTGTTCTCGGCTTTCACAGAAACTGCCACCTCAGAAGCCGTACAGTGAGCAGCCATATTGGATCTCAGCTCTAGTGTCACCTGACTTTCCTGCTACTTTGCAAGCGTCATCAATCTGATCCTGTCAGCAAAGGATACATGATCCCGGCACACTGAGATACACCGTTTCCCACTGGAAGCTTGTGAAACTGTTAAAGCCATGCCGTTTCATTATTAGCAAATGGGAATAAATGCTAGTTATCTGCTGCAAAAAATACAATAAAATAAAATTTTAAAGAATAGAGAATAAAATTTTAAAGAAGAAATAAAAGTTAGAGGTTAGAGAAGATTTAAAAAAAAATACTTTAAGCTGATTATTTTAAATTAGCCAGGTTGGATGTAACTGTGCCAGCAAGCTGAGGATATAACTGTCCATTATGAGGAGTCCTGCTACTACAGCCGAGTTAGGCTGAGGAATAGACTTCATCCTGTCAGCTTCTCTGAGGATTAGCTTTGCTATTGTCTGCTTCCCTGTCAATCAACATACAGAAACATATATATACACACAAACACACACACACACACTGCACTCCATGTGTGCAATCACTAACACAGATAGACCAAACACACAGCGAGCAAGCAGGCAATTAAAACAAACACAAAACACAAACAAGAATGGGGCAATAATGCTGTCTCTCACACATTTACTCATTACCATTTGATCAAGTTTTTTTTCCCAATGAAAAAGAAAAAAATATATGTTAAATAATAAGCTCTAACCGCTGCAGGTTTCTCCATCTCGATTTAAAAAAAGATTCAGAGCATTTAAAATAAACCAAAGCACTGATAGGGCCTGAAGGTGAGATAAAACAGAACTGATTATAACCCCAAATTTCTACTGTACTTCTTACACTGCATGCAGTGACATTGCACATTCCACTGATTTATGCCCTTCTCATACCAAACATTTATCAGCCATATGAACTTGAATTCCAGCATTACACATCAGGACATTCATATCATGAGGATGAGATGAAAGACAGATTTTTCCACGCTGTCTCTACCTCATTCTGCTCTGCTGTGTCATACCAAGCTCTAGGTCACCTCTAAACACTCTGCAAAACCAAGTTAGAGCATTGTGAGTAAGCATTTGGCTCCTACCTTGCAGCTTCTGCATCACGTTGGTAATATCCCAAGCAGAGTGTCCGTAGTGCCTGGGTGATGCCATGCTGCTGTACTGAGGTCACTAAAGTCACGTCCCAGCTCCTGTGAATCACCCTGGCAAGATCCTCATGCTCTGACCAGGACTGCAGCAGTTTAGAGTCTTCACACTGACCGCAGTGTGTCAAGACTGAATCATGCCAATGTTGCTGTTTCTTTTGAAGTCATCCCTGTTACAGTAGCTGTCTGCAATCCTCACATTCTGCAGAGCTCCTCCCCTGGTAATGATGATGTAAGTGCAAACTGGATGTGTATGCGAGCATGCATGCATGTGTGTCTGTGCACTGAACATCTTAGAGGCCCCCCTCCCTTCCCTGAGCCTTTTACTCCTGCAGACTGTATAGCTTTGTGGTCTGCATGTACTGCCACCTGCTGTCCAACCAAAAGGAATACGCTTCCATTTCAGACCTCAGGATAGGGCTTCTTCTCCTGCCTTCTGGTTCTTCCACATGGGAAGTTGGCTTCAGCTGGGCAAATGTGCGTGTCTGCAGAGTGGCAAAAGAAAGAAACAAGAAAAAACAGAATGAGTCACAGAAAATGTAAATCCCACTTTTAAAAGGGCTGACATTAAAGAATCAAACCTGTCAGCACCAATACATGTTAAGGCTACTGAAAATTTATCAGACTCAATTTGAGGGTAATATTGGTTTGAGCATTAATTTGTTGAAATGGTTAAAGCCAAACTTGTGCACTCACTCCAGAGTGATAACTACGCCTTCAGCCAGACAGAAGGACTGATGTATTTGCTTTATTAGTGGTGGAAAATGGATGCTATTTACCAAGATTAACTGCTCTTAAATTACTGAAGATAAAATGGAGGCAAAATGGATTAAAACAATTAGCATTAATGATGCATAGAAAACAAAATCACTTACATATTTGAAAGCATGTTGTTTTGAAAATGAGCTAAATGGCTCTACCACTTAAAAATCCAGAAAGTATAATAATTTGTTGGCTTTGTTTGATGGTTAAGGAAAGAATTTCAAGCTCCAACCTGTTGTATAAATCACATTTGGGTTGGGTTGCACCTTAAAAATACAGTTTTTTAACATGAAGTCATTGTAATAAATAAAATAATACAATGACTAGATGATCATATATTGTCTATATTTTTCTCCTTACTTAAAGGAATAGACTGGAACCCTGTTATTAATCATTTTTCCTAACAGAAAAATTGTTATTTCACTGGTATTAATAGAGGTAGACCATCTCTAGCATGATAAAATCTAAATATACATAAGCATACAGAGAACATGTGCACACGTGTGCAAAAGTATGACATAATGCTGCTTGATTTCAATATAAACTAGAAGTTTCAGTTGCTACTTAATTCATTGCTTATTGGGCAGCTTTGTGAATTATCCCATGACATCACCTTTACAGTGTGCTCAGGTTAAAGGTTGGATGGGGTGCGGGTGGCGGTGGGGGGGATTGGTGTCTTTTGCAGATCAAATCCTTGAAAATAAGCGAGCTGGATCCTAACCAAAGGACATTTCATTTTAAATGTAGTTTTAAAGGAATCACACATATATTTTGGGGCTGGAATGACAAAGAACATTAAGAACAAACCTCTGTGAATCAAGCAATAAAGCATCTCCCTTAAAACACAATGTCCAAGATATACTACCCAACAACAGATCAATGCCACTCTTTGAAATGCAAGAGGGAGGTGCGATGAACCACTGGGCTCTGAGCACTTATCACGATGTGTAATCCCATTAGACAAGTCCTTTCATCATCATCTCAGGAGAGCTCTTAGAAAACTAAAAGAGGGAGCTACAGAGCTCCGTCCAGAGCGTCATTCCACAAAGGCAGACACAGATGAGGACGCCTTGAAAACATAAAAACTAATAAATGATTGACTGAAGCTTCTTTGATTTCACTAAATGATTGGCAGCAGGTGAAAAGGGCTGATTTTAAGGACGAGGATTTGCCTTCCACAGTATATCTGCAGGTCTGGATGTCTAGATTTCTGCAACATCTCGGCAGCCTTTTTGAAGCTTTTGTTGCGTGCTGTTGTTTTGTTTGTTTTCTGCAGTGACTGTGTAAAAATAATATTTACTGGGGGGAAATATTTGTCTTTCAGCCAAAAAGCTGTGGAGAAATGATGTGGAAGAACATGAAATCCTCAAAATAACTCCCCCAAACAAGATGAATTGGTGTTTTACTGGTAAACCTACTAAAAAAATGTTCTAAACCACAGTGTAAGACAAGGCAAAAAACAAAACAAAACAATAATCCATTCAAATTACAGGCCTGCCATTGCTACTGCCATAGAAAATATGGGGCAAAAGATTTACCTTGGTGAATTCAGTATCAGCTATACAGGAACTCCTTCCCAATAAATGTATATGTGTCAGAATCAGCCGTTTGACTCGTCAGTGCACTGAAATGTTGTGGGATTTCGCTGGATTGGCCGGCTGCTCTGCAGCAGGAATGGACTGCTGATTCCTACATTTTTACACAGCTCAGCTCGAGGTGACCTCTACCGTTCAGCGCCCCTGTGGACCAAAACAGATTCAGCGAAAGAGAAAGTCAACAATGCTGCAGCAGAGGAGAGCAGAGACAAAACACTCAGGTCAATAGGAAACCATCCAAGAGTAACCCTTTTAAGATCCGTTTTCTTATCTAATCATTGCACAGCCAGAGAGCTGGGAGCAAGACTGCTAGCATGGTAATCTCTTTCATGCATAGTCAGCAGTTTTCTGAAATCTCATTAGAAAGTTTGCTGTCAACCTGCATGGCAAAAATCAACATGCTAAGAGAGAAACGCTGTTCTGCAAATCTATTATGGGTCCTGAATTATTGTATCTGAAAAGTTGTTTACCACGAAACATGTTTGAAACATGAGCGAATCTTTCCAGTTATACTGATGTGTGTTATGTATTCAACTCAGAAGCCTTTTACATGTTTTTCTGTAGCAAAAAGGACACAATTATTTATGAAATTAATTCATGAAAATTGTGTAAAAATGTACTTGCCTTAAAGGGCTGCCACCCATTATTAATTAAGATGCAGAAAGCATGGCTTTTTTTGAGTGCAATACTGTTGAATAATCATTATGTGGAGGTCTGCAAACAGACTGCATCACACATTCAAAAGTACAGTGCAAATATTAAAGATAAATAACCTCAGCCCTTTTATCATTTGTGTCTGCTAATTAGCTAACAGAGATGTTTTTCTAACTCTTTCCCCCCATTTTGACTGACGTCTAATGTTTACAGGGTGGCAGCAGACATGCTCTCTGACTTTCAGATCACATACAGAGATGTGTTATGAAGTTACCCTGGAGTATTGCTCCATCTACTGATCAAAGCGGGGACAGAAGAAACACAGAGAGTAGCTCCCTGGTGCATTAATTTCTAACCAATGCAATGTCTTTAAAACAAAACAGTATCACCTGTTTATTTTTATTTTACTAATTTTATACATGCTCCAGAAAAGCACATTGATACAAGCCACAGCTTTGAAGGTTTAGAAAATATAAATTTTTAAAAATCTGTAAAATCTGCATTTTTCCTTGCTACCTAAATCTTTGAAGTACTTCTGGATGTGTATTTCTTTACTAAGACATTAAGGACTGCACAGTTATTTCCCACCACTCCGCCCTGCTACACTTGATAAATGCCATGAACAAAAGCTATAAAAGCTTAAAGAATGTCTCCGCCACATATCAACATGTTGGTTTATTGCCCTTCAGCTTCTCTATATCAGAAAACAATGGCCTGACATACTATTTTCAACAGGTCATACAGCCGAGCCAACAATTAAAGGAAGTTCAAGCTTTGGTTGGGATAGTCTCTCTCCCTTACTCTCTCTTTGCCAGTAAGAAGGTTAAAGCTCTCTTAACACAATAAACTCTCAGAGATTTTTGACTAAAATGCTCATAATTGTGTATTTTAAAAAAAACAAAAAAAAAACATTGACTCAGTGAATGTTTAGAGAAAGCTGAGATCAGGGGTCAACTCGGAGAAATAAAATAAAAAGCTGCTGTTGGAGCAAAGGGGCCGGTCTACCTCAGAGGCATACCAATGTGACTGCTGGCATCGTTCTTCCTGACTGAATTGATGAATTTGCAGCAGATTTGACTGCAATTCTTTTCCCTTAGTTTAGCGTGGGATCAAAAACACAGAGATTCATTTCAGTGCATTATATCCTGATTTGTTGAGAGAAGGCGGTAAAAAAGAACTTGAAATAAAAATGTTGGTGTATCAAAAGAGCAGCTCTTCTTTCTTATCAAATTACATTTTTTTAATGAATCTCTCAAATTCAGGCAACTTTGGTTTTGATAGAGAGAGAGGCACCAAAGAAACACTGAGTTTACCAATACAAATGCTGCAGTTAAAGACACGTGCAAAATTACAATCACCATTTTCAGTTGGAGATTTGCCTTTCAATGCTCCTTACAGCCCCAGAAATGTAACTTCTGGTGCAAGGTGATGGCTTGTTGCCTGGGGTCTCTGTGACGGAAGAAAAAAAAGAAGAGATTGAAATATTTATCATTTCTGAAAGGAAGAAAAATATTTGTGATTGTAATAGACTCTCATATGGTAACAGCTGAAGGACTAACTCCTGCGGTGGTGATCCTTCTTCTACTTTAATCAACCTGAAGGAAATGATGAGAGAGGAAGTGATTACAGAAACACCCCGTCTCTATACCTCCAGGATCTCTGTCCTGAGTAGATAAGCCCCTCCTGTTGCTAATTTCCAGCAGAAAAGCAGGAAATGTGACAGTGTAGTTTTCCGCTTCCATAAACAAGCTGACTGTCAGAGTTAGCTGCCAGCCCTGCGAGCGTCTGGGCTGAGTCTCCTTTTGAGGGAGTCGGACGTTACTGACAGGGAAAGTGAGCAAAGGAGAAGAGGGAGAAAGTAGGGGGAACAGGAAAAGAGACGGGACAGAAAGACAGGAAAACCCATCAAAAAAAGGACAGGAAAGAATTGACAGGAGAGAAGGGAGAAGACGAGGAACAGACAGACTGAACTGAGCTTCAGTCTCTCTTCCTCTCCTTTGACAAAGCAGATTAAGTCATGGCTGCGAACAACACAAATTTCCTTCTGGAAATGCTTCAGCCTGCCGACGTTGGTGAGTTTTCTGAGTTTTCTTTCTCTTTTAGCTGGTGTGTTTCATGTGGTTGCTCTGATTGGTGCCCTCAGGAATTCAAGCTTGAATCGCCTCCTGGAATAGATGTAATATGCGGGCCTGGTGCCTTTTTGAACCAAGCTTTATCATCCAAATTTGAATATTCAAAGAAACCTTTTCAGACTTCTAAGAATGCTCGATCTGTTTGGTGCTCATCTAAGGAGCGTGGAAAGAAAAGCGACTGGACTTCTTTAAGTTTCTTGAGGACGTTTCACCTTTCATCCGAGAATCTTCTTCTGTTCTAAAACCAAATGGTGGAGAGTCCCAGGTATTTAAGCCCTAGTGGGAGTTTTCCCTTAAGAGGGTACTTGACCCACTATTGATCAGGTGCCTCATCAAATGAACAAAGGTGTAGGTCATTATCTGAGTTTTAAGGTGAAACCTCACCCTATCATGTGACCTACTGAATCAATGTTAATGTCAATCCAGTCACTTTTCTTTCTAAGCTCCTTAGATTACCATAACCTGGATGACTGAGAACCTACACAGACATACTTGCTGCTGATGTTTTCTTTTTTTCAGTTTTCCCTAATGGTATTTCCAGATGACTTTTTACTAGCGTCTGCCCTCCATTTTCCAAAATTAGAGAAAAAAAAACTTGTGGAAATGTGGTCTAGTAACAAAGCAGGTTCAAACTTTTTGAACATTTTATTGAGGGGAACCCGATTTGTTTTCCTGGCATAAGTCCAGTGGTATTTGTCTCATCTGCTACATTCTCTTCCTTCTCTCAAGCATGCTCAGTTGGCTTTATCCAAGGCAAAGTAGCACAGAGCAAGAATATGTCAACAGCTTTTCATTTTTTGTCTGTGTGTGCGTGTGTGGAAATGAAACTCAGTTGGTTTGTTTTCTCCAAGACGCTCAATCTATTAAACACAGGCAGAGGAAAGCCTATTATTATTTTGTCAAGGGCCACCATATTTCAAGACACGTCTGGCAATTCTCAGTTTCTTCCTAGCACACATTAAATCCCTTGCATTCACAGTGGATTATTAAAAAAAAGACCATAAAGGATATTTAGATGCACTGCATGTGCATAAGAGCAGTGAGGATGTATAACTTCACCAAAGCTGAAAAACCCTCCAACCTGTGCATTAATTGACTGTGTGGATCCAGAAGGATATTTAGATCCAAATTAATTTCTGATGTTGTATTGAGAGCATCAAAAAATGTATCTAAATGTATCTTTTTGTCAATTTTATATGCATTTGTAGAAATATTAACTGGTTGTTCCACACTTGCCACACAGAACTGCAAGCAAGTATTTGTGATACCTGGTAATCAGTCCTTCACATCACTGTGGTGGAATTTTGGCAAACTCTTCTTTGCAGAATTGTTTTAATTCAGCCACAGTGGAGGATTTTCCAGCATCAATGGCCTTTTTAAGGTCATGTCAAAAAAGACTCAATGGGATTTAAGTCAAGACTTTGACCAGGCCACTCCAAAGCCTACATTTTTGTTTTTGTCTATTCAGAGGTGGGCCTGCTGATGTGTTTTAGATCACTGTTCTGCTGCATAGCCCAAGTGTACTTGAGCTTTAGGGCATGAACTGATGGCCAGACATTCTCCTTTAGAATTTTATTTTACTGTTGGTGTGGTGATCTTTTTATGAAATGATGTGTTAGTTGTATGCCAGATGTAAAGGTACTCAAGCCTTCAAGAAATGTTGGGGATCACCAAGATGTTTTTTGGCAGTGCAAGACAAGCCTTTGTGTTCTTTTTGGTCAGCAGTGGTTTTCTCCTTGGAACTCTCTCTTGGATGCCATTTTTGCCAAGTCATGAATTCTAAGTGTAACTGAGACATGTGAACCCTGCAGCTCTTTAGATTTTGTCCTGGTTATTTTCTGACCTCCTTCCATAAGTAATGTATGTGCGCTTGGACTAATTTTGGTAGGCTGGACACTCATAGGAAGGTTCACCGGTGTTCTAAGTTCAGATTCCCAGCCTTAAAGCTTTAGAAATGGCTTTATAACCCTTTCCAGACTGATAGATATCAATGACTTTGATTCTCAGCTGTTTCTTTAGATCTTGGCACGATGTGCTGTCTTCTGAAATCTTTTAGCCTGCTTCACTTTGTCAGGCAGGTTCTATTTAAGTAATTCTTTGATTCAACAGGTCTGGCAGTAATCAAACCTAAGAGTGGCTTGTGAAACTGAAGTGAACTTCTGAAAAAATTTGGCTAATCACAGTTCATTCGTGATTTCACACAGGGAATCATGAATTAACTGATTAATAACAAAATGATGGTTTAATAAATTAAACCATAATTTAAAACTGCATTTTATACTTACTCAGGTTATCTTTGTCTAATATTACAATTTCATTTAATGATTTAAAGCATATAAACAAAGAAGAAAGCAGGAAAGGGAGCAAACACTTTTTCACAGACTTGTAATGGGAATATTTGCGATATAAAAAAGATACTACAGCACAGATCATTTTATAAAGATCCTTTTTTAAATGGTATGCTTCTCTCTTCACAGACCACCTGATTATAGCTTTCTGTGCTTCTGTGGCAGTGGGCCTTCTCTTGGGCGCCCTAGTTTATGTGATGCTTACTTGGTTTTCCCGACACAAAGCAGGCTCTGCCAGCATCACCCGCCGCCCGCATCGCCGCTCGCACACTTCTTCCCGCCATCGTCCAGGCTTTAACCGCAGCAGCAGCTATGACCGGCGAAGCAACAACAGCTTAGTGACAGCTGCTTTCACCTTTCACCGCCAGACTTCCTCTCAAGATCACTTTGACGCAATGGCGCATAAATCCAGCTTCAGGGGCTCCACCTTCCACCCGCTCCTCCAGTGCAGCCAAATTGCAAGAGAGGCAGAGGAGGGGAGCCAAACCACACTGCCACGTACACCACCTCTGACTACATCAACTGGATCAGCTCAAAGCGTAGCCCAGCCAGCTGCCACCCCACCAAGACCAGAGTCATTTTGGGGGAACAGTGTCAGAGGTCTTCATGCTACGCAGACCCCACCTCCAGCTTATGAGAGCATAATCAGAGCTTATCAGGAAACCCGAACCTAAGAGGAGTGAAAGCAGCACTGGCTGATACTAATTGGGAGATGAACGGATTTCCAAACTGGACTAAATCTATAATGATTTTTATGATCAGGTGGAGCTGGAGTGGAGAAAACAAAGAGGCCAAGCTCAGCTAAGTGCCCTACTTAACACAATAACTTCCTGAAATTACATAATTTTTAGCAAATCTGCTATATATTTATAAACATATTTGCCTTTCATCATTAGATACTTTTATACAAAAAAAGAAATTGTAAAAAGTTATTTGAATGGTGTTGCATCCTGTCAATGGTGATTATTTATAATGTAAGGCAAGACATATGCTTTCTCCGTGCAGGTCATATAATAACTATGCAAGAAAAGATGTAATGATTGTACACGTGAAGCTTAAAAGATAAATAAAAAGTGTGTGTAAGCCTGTAGTTAATAAAGTGCATTAGACTATTTGATGTTTTATCAAATTCATGATGAAAACTTGGTTAAATGGACCTGATGTTTTTTATTTTCTGAATCACATATTCAAGATGATTTTGTTTATGTGTTTGCATGAACAGCACTTGCGAATGTGACATGTGAGAAAATGTGGGCATTAGGTATAAGAATTTTTGTTCTGTATGTTTTGAATGTATTTTACTGGACTCTGCTCTTAAGTTAATGCAATAAAGCAAGACTCAAAAAGGCTTTTCAGTGCAGACATTTTGGTCTGCAACAGGTCTGGAGGGACTCGGCAGGACAACCATTTGTTCACATAAGCTGACACAAAATATATTTTAAAAAAGTGAATAATTCTTCCAATAAGGCCACTGGGTATAAAGAAAGGATACTGAGCAATCTCAAAATGTAATGGGTTCTGTCCTTTACCACTCCACCTATAGCTACTTTCAGCTGCTCCCTTGGTACAAGCACAAATGGGCTTTTAATCTCCAGCTAAAACTGAACCAGTGACCTTTTGCATGGCAAGCAAATGTCTGAACCATTGTACTATGAACTGCTACTATGTTGATTTTCATGAAACCTCTCCAGCACACTTCATAAAAGTCAAGGTAGTCACCTTACAATGCAGTTCAACCTAGCACTCACTCAAATATGAGCTACCAACAGTTCAAGACTATAGTGTTGTTCCACAGTAATGCACGCTAGAGCAGAAAAAAGCCAGAATACAATAATAGTAATAGCTGTGTTAGACTGCTATATTTACAGTGCAGCTGTGCTGTCATTTTTATTACTGTCCTAACTGTTGTTTCCTGAAGAAGGAACTTGTGTACAACAGTAAAGTTTGAAAGGTGAAGGACACAATCCCT